TAGTATTGACTTATTCAAAGACCTCACTGTCTGGAACCCTTCCACCCAGTGGTTCTGCAGCTTCCAGTTGTTACCTGGTGCTCACAGAAACAGTTGCATCATCCAACAGACCTCTGCAGCCCTTTTCTTCCCATGAAGCTCTTTGCACCGAACCTCTTAGGTTTCCAAGAGAAGCATTCAGTTCCTTATTCGCACACTAGACTTCTAGCTGAGTGGCAAGAGAGAGGCTGAACAGTATCATCACACATGAATGGTCATCCCAGGTTCATCTTTCCCACATCCATCAACTGGGAGCTGTAGGCTAGAGGAAACTAGCAAGGAAACAGGCATCTCTGTGAATGTGTTAATTCTCCCCTGAAAGGGAAATACAGGAGCTATAGCAGGGAGGGGAGGAGATTGGTTGGTGTGTATAAGACCTGTGGGCCTGTTGAGCAGGAAAGCAGGCAGAAAGAAAGTCTCCTTCCTGTCAGCCACACTAGTGGACTGACTTTCTAAGGCCTGGAAGCAGATGCCCCTTTATCAAAAGATGTCTTCTGTTTTCTTGGGACAAATCTATGGGTGGCTCCAAAAAGAGTGTCATCTTTCCATGCTCTCTAGGAGTCACCAACGAGTACAATACAATTCCCAGTAGTACTACTAAGTACTCAATGATTAATACTACTAAATAATACAGTACGGGGTCAGGGATGAGCTTTTCCTGTAAAGAGCTAGCTAGTAAGTATTTCAATCTTTGCAGGCCATATGTTCCTTGTTGCAATTACTCAGCTCTGCTAGTGGAGGTTGAAAGCAGCCACAGGCAACACATAAATAAACGGGCCTGGCTGTGCTCCAGGGAGACTTCATTTGTGGATACTAGAATTTAGATTTTGTATGATTTTCGCATGTCACAAAATATTCTTTTTTTTTTCTCCATTTATAAATGTAAACATCAGTCTTAGCTCCCAAGTGGTATGACAACAAGCAGCAGCCTGTTTCTGTTCACAGACTTGGTTTGCCGAACTATTTTTGTTTCTGTAGCAAAAGGAGCCCCTGGATAATCAGAATGTACATGGATTTGAGGCCACCATCAATGATTTTCTGGTCTTGTAACCTTGGGGAGATTAGTTACTTTGCCAAAACTCTAGTTTTCCATCTATAGCAATATAAATGATAATACCCAGCCTCCCATGTGGGATAGAATTAAAGGAGATGGCTTACACAGGTGCTTGAAATTGGCCATTAGTGTCATTTGCAGCATTGTTTTGTTATTATTGTGCAACCTCCCCCCTCCCCGATAGATTTTTGGCTTCTAGGTTATACTCTATCCAAAAGCCCTCCAAAACTGTAAGGGCAGAAATATTGGAAAGAAATGTGTTCTATTCAATTTTAAATCAAAGCATAATGTTTTCTTAAATATATGTTGGCTATAAATTCTAGAAACAATATTATTTGGCTGTATTGTAATGTAATATCAACAAGCTATATATTACATTTCTGTTGCTTTTTGTTTTTCAACTTTTCAGCCACCCATTGAAAGGAAATCATCCTAGCAGCTCACCCTCGCCATGTATGTGGGGTGTTTCATTTATAGTCACCCCCTTAACTCTTGAGTCACACAGAGGATCACCCCATTCAAGGACAGAAAGACTGGAAAGTTGGCACGCTGTTTTAGAAGTGACTTACTACTGTGTCTTCTCAGGTAATTAAATGACTCCTCCCCCTGCCTTTGCCCAGTGTAGGCTTGAAATTTCCATCATTTTTACCCTCTCTGTCTAATTGTTCCCCTTTCTGCCAACAGTTTTTGAATATCCCAGTGATACCAGTTTAAATTTAAATTAAAAAAAAAAGCTGGGATGGGGTAGGGGAAAACAAGAGACCAGAACTGTTAGAAAATGTAGGAAAGGAAAGCCTAAGAATGTTATTCTGGAGACTTGTACATTTAAACTCTTAAATGAAGTCAGAAATAATTTTTAAATTATGGAACTGATAAATAAATATATCAGAGTTCTAGTTTGGTTAAACCTGTAAGACAAAATTGTGCTTAAGAAATAGTTTGACATTTGTAGAGACAACAGGGAAACTATGATACTACGTTGAATCAGTAGACTTGGAACCAGACAATAAAGGAAAGAGAAGAGAAGGACAGAGGGGCAGAGAGAAGCAGTAAGAGCATTTTGTTTAAGGGACATGGACTGGGCTGTGTGTGGGGACAGCCATGCTGGGTTACCATGTTTAGAAGGAATGAAAAAGGAATGGACCGAAGTTATAGTCATTGCAAGCGTGTTAGTGTAAAGGAGGACAGTTTGCCCAAAGGACAGCCTAAAACACAAGCGTTTTTTCTAAATTGTATGAAGCTGATGTCAAAATGAATAGGTGCTCTTCCCATTGGATAGTGGAAGTAGGTAGGCGGACATGAGAAACCCTGAGGATTCTCCAGCCTCCAATCACTCTTCCAGCCCTTTGCTTAGGACTTCTTTGCTGGGCCACCCTGCAGTCACCTGGGGCAAATGGACCCATAGTTCTCATCTCACTGATGGATCCCACTAGGCTTCAGGGAAAAATGACTCAACTGTACCAATCGAACAGACCGAAATGTCTCCTTGAGAGAAACCTCACTGGTTATGGGCATTGTCCCGTTCTGATCAGTTGATTTATTTTCATAGCATTTATTTCACTAATGAAGTGAGTGCAGGAATGAAGACTAAGTTTTCAGAGTAGAAAGGGTACAAATTGTGGGGTTGATTTTGTTGAACTATCTTAATGCAAAAAACAAAAAAACCCATTCCCTACTTGCTGCTTAGAAAATTCAGTCATAATGAACTTCTTTCAGTTCCAAATTTTAACAGTTGACACAAAATACATTGTTAAGCTGTGTTCTCAATAACTGTAGAAAAATAGACATGTTTGAGGGGGACATTCTAATAAAAGGTCTTTCAGGAGTATCCTCCTTTAAAGATTCAGAGCTCGCATTACAAAAATGGGAGATTTGGTTCCAGTTCTGTCGCCAGCTACACCGACAGCCGGACAGCGGGTACCCTGTCACAGACACAGAACTGGCATGGTGCCAGGTCTCATCAGGGTCTTGGTTCTGTTTGCTAAAGGGCAAGCAAGAAGCTGTCAGGCCCTCAGCAAACTCAAAACAACCATGGAAAGTGTTTGTCCTTCCAGCCTTAGCAATGGGTCCTCGAGAGAGAATGAAGCAGGCGTTTCATGGCCCCTGTTCCCTCCTGTCTGGTGCCACAGGGCAGGGTTCCCTTCCTAAGGGTCAGGCTGCAGCAAGTGCATTGGGCTCCCTCCTCCTGGACTACTTCCTCCTAAGTGTATGGGCAGAACGCATGACTCAACACATAGATAACCGATGCCAAAAGTGAAATGCTAAAAACAGGAAAGAGCTGCAGCCAACAGCTTGAGTTTCCAAAGAGCCAGTGCCAAGAAGCGAGTACCCTGATGCCAGGTCTCTGCAGTGAAATAGACCCCCGATGTTCAGCAAAGGAGTTGCTCTCCTGGGCTCTGGGCTGTCCTTTTCAGTGACAGGGTCCCCAACCACAGCAAGGCCTGTGCAGCCCGGTCAGACAAGGCGAGGGAGACACCGGGGGATGACGGCCAGCTGATCTCTTCCACCTCCATGGCTCAGGGCTTCAACCAAGCACAGCTGTAGGAGCTGAAAATAGACTTGAATCCATTCAATGAATATTCATGATGGGGCACTGTGTTAAAGAACAAACAGTTTATAAATGCAAAATTAATGTGAAAGATCTGTCACAGTGCAAAATCTCCACCTGCCCCTGAAGTTTTTGTCTAACATTCTCATTCTTGTTTTTCATGCTAAAATTTAGATTTCCAGTACAAAATACCCTTCTTCCCCTTCCTTCCTTCCTTCCTTCCTTCCTTCCTTCCTTCCTTCCTTCCTTCCTTCCTTCCTTCC